AGAGGAAAAGATGAAAGATTGTTTTTCTCCTCCCACCATGTTGGTCCCAGGGCTCAAAGTCAGGTTGTCAGGTTTGGCGCCTTTATCCTTTGAGCCATCTCACCTGCCTGTAAGAGCTTTTTTTCAGATATGGCTGAAGGGTGGACATGGTGGCATGTGCCTTTAATCCCAGCATTTGGAAAGCAAAGGTCTCCATAGTAAGTCTTAGACCAGAAGCTCTAATCAGTGGTTATGACCCCTGTGAGAGTCAAATGACCTTATCACAGTGGTTGCCTAAGACAATTGAAAAACAGATATTAACATTACAATTCATAACAATAATAAAATTATAGTAATAATTTTATGGTTGGGTCACCACCACATGAGGAACTGGATTAAAGGGTCACAGCATTAGAAAGATTAAGAAGCACTGCTCAGCTGGGTGGTAGTGGCACACACCTTTAATCCCAGCACTCGGGAGGCAGAGGCAGGTGGATCTCTGTGAGTTCCAGGCCAGTCTGGTCTACAGAGTGAGTTCCAGGATAGGCTCTAAAGCAATACAGAGAAACCCTGTCTCAAGGAAAAAAAAAAAAAGCAGCACTGCTTTCAGGCTTCTGTCTGACCTTGTGTGATAAATATCACCTTGGAACCAATAAAACAGCAACAAGGTTCCTTTGTCTGACACTCATCTGGCTGTCAAAATAGGATCTGGCAAGAAAGGCATCAAGCAGTGCCAGAGTGTAGCACTGGTCAGAAAGCATCAACTTCTTTACAATTTTCCCCATCCTCACCAGGGAATGTAGATACTTTTGCTTGTTTTAGCCTGTGAGCCAGACTAGCTGCCTCAAACCTCATTACTGTCAACATGATCTTAAACCAACACTATTAATCATTTATGTCTGGCTCCACATAGTAATTAAAACAGGTAAGTTTAAGCTTAACGAACAGAGCGGAGCTCTCCAGTTTATTAGTGTTGCACATTTATAATCCCATTACTTAGGAAACCGAAGTCGGAGGCAGCTCTAGGCAAGCCTGAGCTACAGAGGCCTTGAAACCTTGTCTTAAAAAAAAAAAAAAAGTTTGTTGCTGGGCTGTGGTGGCGCATACCTGTAATTGTAGCACTTGGGAAGCAGATCTCTGTGTGTCAGGCCAGCCTGGTCTACAAAGCAAGTTCCAGGACAGCCAGGCCTGTTACATAGAAAACCCCTGTCTCAAACCTCCCCACCCTCCAAAAAAGTGTGTTGTAGGGTTGGGGACAGGGGAGATAGCTCAGCAGCAAAGAGTTATATTGCTCTTGCAGAGGACCTGAGTTTGGGTCCCAGCACCCACATGGGTGAAGTGGGGCTCTGACCTGGCTGCCTTGAGTATCTGCATGAACTTGAACATAAACACACCCACACTAGAAATAAACCTTAAAATCTGGGTGTGGTGGTGCACACTTTAGCTCCACCACTTGGGAGGAAAAGGCAGGTGAATCTCCATGAATCTGAGGCTAGCCCGATCTACATGGCCAGGTCCAGAATAGCCAAGTCTACGTAGTGAGACCCTGTCTCAAAACAATAAATGTTTAAACAAAAAATGAAAATGGTCTTAGATGGAAACTTAAGGCCAATTTTATTGTAGTTTGAGAGGAAAAACAAACAAACAAACAAACACTGCAGATAAGCTTCTGGGAGAAAAATGGGGAGGACAAAGTCATGTTGTTTTAGTTAGAAATCAAGAAAGCATCTGAGAATGTACCAGAACCTAGAGAGCAACCTAATGAGTCAATGTCTGTAAACAACTGTGCAGCTGGCTTGTTACCCCAGTGTTAGCACCTGGGCGTTCAGCTGCCTTTGTGATGCTACCTTTTGTTACTGTTTTTTTTTTTTATAAATATATATTAACAATTTATTTTTATTTCATGTGCATTGGAGTCTTGCCTGCATGAGGGTATTTCATCCCCTGGAACTGGAGTTACAGACAGTGTGAGCTACCATGTGGGTGCTGGGAATTGAACCAGGGTCCTCTGGAAGAGCAGCCAGTACTCTTAACCACTGAGCTATCTCTCGAGCCCCTACCTTTTGTTTGAAGTGTTTGATTCTTATCTGAGTTCTTCCTGAAGGGTTCAAAGCCTTTGCAAAACTTGGTTATGAGTACTTGGAAAACCAAGAGGTCTTGTGACTGAGAATTGCTTTAGCATTTGGTTCCTTCAAAGGAACTCCAGATAAGAGGTTTTGGTATTCGGAATTGACTTCCTAAGATGTAAATTATGTAACAATGAAAAGGCCTTTTGGGAAGAATGTGTATATAGTCAGCCCACCAGAAGCTGATTCACCCTGCTGCTTTGCTAAGCCAAAATTCATTCTGACTGACCCTAATTCTTCCATGCAAAACAACACTGGCAAACTGCAGTAGAAAGGCTTCTAGGGGTCAGTGCAGAGCTCACTAAAGACATTGTCTCTTCTCTTTTTGGATGTTTGTTTTGTTTGAGACAGGGTTTCTAAACTGTGTAGTCCTGGCCTGCCATAGGTGTAGGAGTTTGCAGTGGAAACAAGGAGACACCAAGAAGCCTTTCTTTTGCAGTGTTCCCCCCACACCTTTTACTGGCAGTTAAGTACTCACTAGTGCTGTGTCTAGTAGCAAGCAGGTTTGAAACTGAGAGGCAATTCTAAGGGATAACTGACACAAGTGAGGTGCTCAGAAAAAAGTGTTCACTACAAAAAAGCTTTTTGGTTTGTTTGTTTTTACACAAAAATAAGTATCCAAGTTTATTGTGTCCTTTTCAAATAATTGAGGTGCCAGGGATCTAACAATCTGGTGTTGGGGGGTCCATCAAGATGGTCTCCAGTTCTTTCTGGGCACAAGCTCAAACTGCAGGCATGACATAATGCCTAGGAGGAATGTCTCTGGGGCAAAACCAGGCCACAAAGTTAGGGAAGCAAGAAAATCTGATACAGGGTCAGAGACTGCTCAAGCTCTGCTTGCAAAGCTCTTTGGTTTTTGCTAGCTAGTATATAAAGTGTGGAAAAATAAAAATGGTCAAGCTTAGGCAACCTGAGACCCCAGTTGGTAAACACTGGAATATTAAATTATATCCCTGGGCAGTTTTTGTTTGACAGGGTCTCACTATTCACTGTGCAAGCCAGGATGGCCTTGAACAGAGGTTTGCCTACATCTACCTCCTGAATGCTAGGATGAAAGCTTCTGCCACTATGTTAGTCTGATCACCCCTCTGACATATGATCTTGCTATAGCCCAGGCTTGCTTAGAACTTGAGTGTCTCTTGCTTCTGCCCCTCAATATAGGCCACCATTTCCAGATTCCCTGACTTCAACTGTTGTGGAGTCTGTGACTCCTGGGAAAAGACTATAGACTCAACTGAATTAGAATTAAAGATTTATTGATTAGTTGCTTGCTGTGGAATATTACTTTAACCAGGTAAAGATGCACTACATTTGCTCATGCTGCATGTTTCATTATGTAAGGATGTGCTGCTTTGCCTGCCTAAGGCACCTGATTGGTCTCATAAAAAGCGGACCACGGGCTGGAGAGATGGCTCAGAGGTTAAGAGCACTGGCTGCTCTTCCAAAGGTCCTGAGTTCAATTCCCAGCAACCACATGGTGGCTCACAACCATCTGTTATGAGATCTGGTGCCCTCTTCTGGTGTGCAGATATACATGGAAGCAGAATGTTGTATACATAATAAATAAATAAAATCTTTAAAAAGTAAATAAATAAATTAAAGACACAGCTAAATGTGGTGGTTCACACCTGTAATCCCAACTATTCAGGAAGCTTAGGCAGGAGGATTGCTGAGTTTGGATACACAGTAAGTTCCAGGACAGCTTGAACTTCATACAGTGTGATTCTACATGGAAGCAGAATGTTGTATACATAATAAATAAAATCTTTTTGTTACACATGTATATCCCATCCTTATTTTTAGTTTTAGCCTGAATACATTTGTTTCTCCAGAAAATCTGGAGGCCTCATGCAAATGGTCTGATTTCTGTGACCAGCTAGGAAGAGTGACTGGATGCTCAGGTCAAAGTCCAGTGACCTTGTTTATCTCAATCTTTTGAAAGAATACCTTTAAGAAAAAGTCCAGCTCTGAAGCCAAGGCTACATAGGGAACTGTCTGGGTTGGGGGACAAAAACAAACAACAAAACTTCCCCAAGCCAGCATTGGTGACGCACTGCACGTCTTTGGTTCCAGCACTTGGGGGGCAGAGGCAAGCTGATCACTGTTGAGCTGGTTGACAGATCGAGTCCCGTCTTTGGTTCCAGCACTTGGGGGGCAGAGGCAAGCTGATCACTGTTGAGTTTGAGGACAGATCGATCCAGAGGACAGCAGGGCAATAGAGAAACCTTGTCTTGAAAACAAACAACCCAAAAAACAAAATTTCCTATCTACCGGGGACAAAAACATTTCTGAAATACAATCAGGAATCATGCAAACTCATAGAAAAATAACAAGTTTAGATGTTTCATTAATAAATAGTCTCTCAGTTTCTTAATGCTCACTTGTGATCATGGCAATTGGCCTGCACCAGTTAACAGTGAATCTGTGCTGACCACTGGACCACAGAGACTGGACTAATTTAATTCTCTCTGCCAGGCAAATCACTACCCACTCCACTTCAAGGTTCATTAAACCTTCCATATACTACACCCCATTAATCATATCCTGTTCAATATAATTACCTCCTTCACACCTCCCCCCACTCAGACAGGGTCTCTTTGTGTAGTCCTGGAACTAACTCTGTAGTCCAGGCTGGCCTCGAACTCAGAAATCCACTTGCCTCTGGCTCCCAAGTGCCGAGAGTAAAGGTGTGCACCACCATGGCCCAGTTCATATTCTTTATAAGGTGTTATGACATTTCCTGCTAATGTTGAAGGGTAGCCCTCTGAATTGAGGGGAATGCAAACTTCATCCTGCATCTGAACCTTGCACCTGTCATGTGGTGGAAACCCAGAAATGTTTGGCAAATGAGTCTGACATAGTTCTGTGGTAATAAGCAAACAATGCACAAGTATATAAATTCGCAACAGACCTTTAATGACTGGGGTGGGCTTAGGAATGAAAAGCTAAGTTAGTCCGATCACAGGGACAGAAATGGAGAACTCAGTAGGCTGTCTGAGACTGCTGCTGGCGGTAGCCACCACGGCGCATGTAGCCTTCGTTTTTCCGGTAACCATCCTTTTGATCTGCAGGAAAGGTGCATAGGAGAGAGGAGGAGCTGAGTGCCTGGGGAGAGACAAAGGTGCCAGGAACCTGGGAGAATGAATGAAGAGGCAGGACCACTTACCTCGGAAATAGCCACCATAGGTTCCTTGCTTATGGTCAAACACCCGTTCATTATTCTCGACTAGGCTGCCAAGCTTCTCAGCCAGCTGCAGAGCCAAGTTCTGCTGGGCAGTGGGCTCAGTTCGGTGCATCACCACTGTCTGTGTCGGCTGGTCCAGGGAAGCCTGATGGGAGTGAGAGGGACAGACAGCGTACAGATCAGACTATACTATACTGGCTTCTTTGTGACTCTACCTGCTCAACCACCTCCTCTCGCCCTCACCATCAATTCTTCATTAATGATCATCTTGCTGATGATGGAGTGAACAGTAGGTAGATCCAGCTCAAACATATCTGACAGTGTCTCCATACTGGGGAAATAAGGCAGGAAAAAGAGGGCAGTTAGGAACCCTGATTACAAAGCTGGGATTCTCTGTACCCCAAAAGTGCAGCCTACCTGATTGAGTCATAGACACTGCTGTAGGTAAAGAGGTAGGTCCTCAGTGACTCTTCCTGGATCTTCCTGTGAGGAGACAACAGAAAAGGTGAGGTCCTAAGGGAAGGAGACCAGACAATCTTTTCTTTCCCACTCACCATGGTTTCCCTTACTGCTCACCGAACTAGCATGGTGCGAACTTTGTCAGCCTCAGGGAAAAGGTCCCACACTTTCCCATTCATCTTTTCATTAATGATGAAACTGTGGCAGGTCTTCCAGTCACCCATCTTCATGGCCTTGGAGGCAGCAACCACATGCTCCCTCATTGACTCAGGAGGACCTGAAAGGGCAAGAATAAGGCAGGACTGAAAGAAACTTGAGACCATGATTCCTGCCCTTGTGAGTACTGTTTAAGGAGAAACACAGGCCAGGAGGGCAAATAACCATACTAGAGACTCTCCCAACTCTCCACTGCCACAAGACTGTACAAGTCACTTAATAGCTGAAGACACTGACTTTGGTGTGAACCAGTCCCTAAAGACGTTTCAAGGGATTGCGGAATTCCTTGAAACTGTTGACAAATAGTTGTTGTGTATATCCTCATGTGTATCTTTCTACGAAAAAGGTTCACAGCTTTTCATCAGATTCTCTTAAAGTTCCTTGACATTAAAAAAAGTTACTGGGTGGTAGTAAAGTGTACCTTTGATCCCAACAGAGGCAGCAGACCTAGGTGTGAAGCCAACCTGCTCTACAGAATAAATTCCAGGATATCCAGAGATACACAGAGAAACCCTGTCTTGAAAAACAAAAGTCTAGGGGCTGGAGAGATGGCTCAGTAGTCAAGGGCACTTGGCTGCTCTTCCAGAGGACCTAGATTCAATTTTCAGTACCTACACGGTGGCTCACAACCCTCTGTACTCAAGTCTCAGCAGATCCAACACCTTTTTGCCTCTGGATTTTCGGGCATACATGCAGGCAAAACACTTACACATAAAATACATTAAATAAAGAAGGCCTAAGATCTTGAGGCTGGACAGATGACTCTTCAGAGTCCTACTGCACTTGAAGGGGACCCAGATTTGGTTGTCAGGATCCAAAAGCATCTATTAATTCCAGAAAATCTGATACCCTATTATGGCCTTTGCTGGCACCTGCATGCATATGGTGCATGCAAACACACACACACACACATTAAAAAAAAAAAGTTTGACCTGGGCGTGGTGGTTCACTCCTTTAATCCCAGCACTTGGGGGAGGTAGAGAGGCAGGGGGATCTTTGAGTTTGAGGTTAGCCTGGTCTACAAAGTGAGCTCCAGGACAGCCAGGGCTGTTACACAGAAATCCTGCCTCAAAATCAAAACAAAGTTTAAAATATTTCAAATAGGATACTATTTACCAAATGATAGTCTTACACTGAAGAACAAGGTAGCTTAGAAACCATTATGTGTAGTACAAGGCTGGCCTCAAGTTCTTTTTTTTTTTTTTTTAGATTCTATTTTTTTTGATTTATTATGTATACAGTCTTCTGCCTGCACACCAGCAGAGGGCACCAGATATCAGCTGGGAATTGAACTCAGGACCTCTGGAAGAACAGCCAGTGCTCTTAACCGCTGAGCCATCTCTCTGGCCCCTGGCCTCAAGTTCTTAATAATCCTCCTGTCGCTGGCTTCTGAATGCTAGGACACACACTCAACCGTACTTGTATTCCCTGTTAGGGGATATACGACACTGTGTGAAGATATACTGCTGAGACTGACTTAATAAAGAGCTGAAAGGCCAATAGCTAGGCAGGAGAGATAAGTGGGACTTCTGGGCAAAGAGAGGAAACTCTTGATGAATCTAGGTGTGACAGAATATAGATGAATAAAAATAGGTTAATTTAAGTTTCTTTTTGTTTTGTTTCGTAAGACAGGATTTCTCTGTGTAGCTCTGGCTGTCCTGGAACTCATTCTGTAGACCAGGCTGGCCTCAGAGACCTGCCTGCCTCTGCCTCCCAAATGCTGGGATTAAATGCTTTCGATACCACCACCAGGCAATTTAAGTTTTAAGAGCTAATTTAAAACAAGCCTAAACTAAAGGCCAAGGTTTCATAATTAATAAGAAGTCTCTGTGTCATTACTGGGGAGTGAGGCTGCTGGGACATACAAAGACTCGATATATATGGTGCCCAATGTAGGGCTCAAATATCCAAACACAGGGCCTGAGAGACCAACAAAAGTTTTGGACAAGGAGCCAATTGTGGCTTCCTAGTCCTGCAGTTTCAAAGGCTGGTGAGTGCTCAGCACACAGAGGCGTGTCTACTGGCTGTTGCCTGCAGGATGAAGCCAGCTGCCAGGGTCATGTGCCAGTACCATGTGCTAAACTCAGCTGCATGGCAGCTTGCATGACAGTCATGATAGTTTAAGACTTGTCTCATTTGATCTGAAAATGCTGCAGGCGCTTAGTGAAGCCAGGTCCAAACACAAAAAAGCCCCTAAAAAGGAACAGTTGTTTAAAAATGTACTTAAATGCTGAATTAAAAAAAAGAAAAAAGAAAGAAAGAAAATAGGTATGTGGAGTCATAGGAAAAATAGTTTAAAAATAAAGTCTTTAAAGAAGGAATAAAGTAAAGCCAGGTGTTGGTGGCGCACGCCTTTAATCCCAGCACTCGGGAGGCAGAGGCAGGTGGATCTCTGTGAGTTCGATGCCAGCCAGGTCTCCAGAGTGCCAGGATAGGCTCCAAAGCTAAGAGAAACCCTGTCTCGAAAAACCAAAAAAGGAATAAAGTAATATAAAGAGAATAAGCCACACAGGATGGGAAATACACAAGAGTGTTTGGATCCTGTATGTTTTCTTGACTTTGATTTTTTAAAATGCTAATGTACAAAAGACAATAGCTGCTGAGACATAGGATTATGGAAACTGCTAAATTAACCATCTATCCATCCATCCATCCATCGCTATACTTTTTGGTTTTTCAAGACAGGGTTTCTCTGTGTTACAGCTTTGGCTGTCCTGGAATTAGCTCTGTAGACCAGGCTGACCTCAAACTCAGAGATCCACCTACCTCTGCTGGGATTAAAGGCGTGCACCACCATCACCTGACTCTATCTATGTATTTTAAGAATGTCTTCACTTCAGGGGCTGGAGAGATGGCTCAGCGGTTAAGAGCAATGGCTGCTCTTCCAGAGGGGCTGGGTTCAATTCCCAGCACCCACCTGTCTATAGCTCTGGTTCCAGAGGATCTGACACCTTCATACCAATGCATATAAAGTTAAATATTGTTATAAAAAAAAATGTCTTCACTTCAGAATGGAAGTAAAAATGTGTTGAGGGAGAGATTATGCCTTTGTTTCTGCAGGAAACAAAAAGTTATGGTTCTCTTCAAAATTAATAAAGATCAGATTTGATTGGTGGAGACCTCCTGAGGATCTTGGCTACAGACATGAGGGAAAAAGCCAAGAAAGACTACAGGACAGGTGATGTATATATGCTAATTATGGAAACAGCTTTGAGACCGAATGAGACATGAGACCAAAAGTACTAGACACCAATAAAGACAAACAGCCCAGGTGATCCAGCTTCTGAGAATTCCTCTGTTGCAGTTTCCTCAAAAATCTACATCCAGAACAACTTCAAAGCTGCTAGCTGAGATGGTGTAGCCTCATAGACTACTCCAGTCAGACTTCAGATAAGTCCTACATTTTCCTACCATAGTGAGACTAGACAAAAGCCACTCTCCCAGGACTTCACAATTATCTTAATTTTCTCTGGGTCCCCTAATGTTGCCATTACCCTCAGACAACAGGAAGCAGACTAGAGAACACAAAGCCCACATTCTCAAGATATAAGGGTGGGTGGCTTTTGGTCATCTGGTGGGTTATGGATCTTTGCCATCATTGGGGTGGTGATGGTTATTATTTGTTACTGGTCATGGTCAGGGAGAAAGCTGAACAAATACATAGAACTATATAAATGGTGGGATAAAGGGGTAGATTATCAAGTCTACTTTTGAACTAACTAGTCTCAAATATTTTACACTGGTATGGATTTTTGTATATTGATACAAATTTAAGGTTATTTTGTTATAAATATATCATTTCTACTCTTGTTTAGGTATTGTACCTATGTAGCTCACTAAAAAAATGTAAAGATCTAGTTCTTAAAAGCTATTTAGGATAAAGACAGATTAGTAGTTCTCTATAAGCCGGGCGGTGGTGGCGCATGCCTTTAATCCCAGCACTTGGGAGGCAGAGGCAGGGGGATCTCTGTGAGTTCGGGACCAACCTGGTCTATAACAGCTAGTTCCAGGACAGCCTCCAAAGCCACAGAAAACCCTGTCTTGAAAGAAGAAAAAAAAAATAGTAGTTCTCTATAACAATCAAACTTATAGTCATGTTAGGTATGTTTTCAAGGTCAAACAGATATTTTAAATAGACAAATGGTCTTCAAAGACATACAGAATGTGGCATTTAAAATGTTTTAATAGCATAAGGCTTCTCATGACAGTGAAAAGTAAACTGGCAGTACCAGTTTACTTCAGAAGAGGATGACAGGCACTGAAGAACCTCCATATGGAGTGTTTTCAACATGGCAAAGCTAAGCAAGAAACTGCCCTTGCCTCCACTTCTGACAGTATGCCGTCCAAATTGGATGAGCAAGATACAAAAAAGGTGATTGCTGAACTTTGCCAAAACAAAGTAGGACAGTACTTCAAAATTCCTGCTACACAGAAAAGTCTCAGATATTCTAGGCCTGTGGGTCAAAGATGGATGCCCCAACATTACAGAGGAATCTTGGGTGACTCTCTAGGCAGCCAGCTGCTTCTGTCATTACTATAGTTTTGGAAGTTGCTTGCTCTGCATTTCCTGTTTACTCAGGTAATATTAATCCCTCTTGGGTCTAAGATGGGATTAAAGAATAGATAGTTTTCTTTAGTTATGCTAAAATGTAAATTAGGTATAAAACTCTGAACACATCAAGAAATGATAGATAATATAGTAACCTCTCCAAATTTGCCAAATACAAATGGACTGGACATTGTAAATATAATTTATACCTGATAATTGTTCTTATTGTGTATAGTTTTACCATGTTAGAGTGAAAACCTTTCCTTTTTAGACAAAAAAGGGGAAATTTTATGGGCTATTTGTACACTATATGAAGATATATTGCTGTGATTGATTTAATAAAGAGTTGAATGGCCAATAGCTAGTCAGAAGAGCTAAGTGGGACTTCTGGGAAGACAGGAAACTCTTGATGAATTTAGATAACAGGAGATGGAAGAAGCAGGATGAATGGTACATGTCAAAATACAGATGAATAGAAATCGGTTAATTTAAGTGATAAGAGCTAGCTGAAAACAAGCCTAAGCTAAAGTCGAAGCTCCCATAATTAATTAGATGTCTCTGTGTCATTATTTG